GTGTGTGCGTGCGTGTGTGTATGTGTGTGTGCGTGTGTGTGTGTGTGTGTGTGTGTGTGTGTGTGTGTGTGTGTGTGTGTATTGTGGCGGTTTCGGGGTCACCATTCTGTAGCAGTATTGACGGCCTAAAACAACCCGTACATTTTTTTTTACTTTACAAATGTGTAAGCAAATGAAAAGCAAACAAGAGGAAACTGTTTTTTTTTTTTTTATAACAAGAACAATATTCATATTTATATTTAAAAGTATGGAAAGATGTACAAGCATAGGAGTTACTTCCCTTTGATTGCAATTAAAGCTTTTACTAATGAAATATTCTTTTTTATTTGAGCTCATAAAAAGTTGAATGAACTTGTTGCTCAAAATGTTCACTGTGAGAGAATACTGCAAAGCTGGAAATATGTTGATAAACTTTTAGCTTCAGAACGGCTGAAAGACTGAATATTCCGTAATGTTTAATTAGTTTTCGTTACTTGTAGTTGAATATTCGTAATAATATTACGAATCATTTCAAGTATTAACATATTACGGTAAAATGTTGATACTTGAAATGATCTGTAATGTTTGCAATTAAATTTCTATTACTTTTAGTTGAATATTCGTAATATGTTGATGCTTAATGTTCTATAATATGTTCGTAATTAAATTAAGTTTCGTACGTACGTGTATGTGTGCGTGTGTGAATATGTTTTCATAGCGTTCGCCCGAAAGACGCCGGAACGCGATTCCTTTATAGGATACAAATCCTATATTCCAACAAATGACTGAAAAAACACAAAGTAGATTTGCACACCCGCAAAATCGGATCAAAACGACCAAAAACAGATTTCACAATAAGGTGTGAAAGTAATTTTCGGACCAATGAAAGGAGGCGATTTGCTAAACCAAAAAAAAGATAACGAGCCAGTGTGAAAAAAAAAAGTCAACAATAAATACGTAGTTTTCAAGTCAGTCGCCAGTCAGTCAGTCAGAGACGGGCGCAAAAAGATCACAGAAGATTGACAGTAAATTTCATCACTGACTCAACCCGAAAAGTGGAGTAGGAAGGAACAACAACAACAACAACAAATTTACAACTGGCTTCAAAACAATTCATAAGTACATTTTCCTTTTATCTTTATTCCACATTCATATTCTTTTTTTTTTTTTTACTTAAATTGCTCGTCCCTTTTCATTTTAAACTATACAAAATGCAAAAGAAACAGACATTATTCTGCTACTCTGTTAAAAAGACAGCGAACACAGACATTTTTTCAAAATCACATTTTTGTAAACGAACTAAAAACATTAATCTTTTTTACCCTATTTACAAGATAATAAATATACAATGTTCTATTTTTATAAACGTTCTTTCTTATCGTTTGTTTCTTCTTGAAATTTGCGTTGTATTTTTATTTTTCATTTCCCGTATTAAATTCTCCTTTAATCCGGGTACGCTGAACCCCACACCTTAAACAGCGAACAAGAGAAACAACGCAAGAACTGTTTCTCTCCATTTTACTGTATAAAATACAAAAGCGATCAAGTGTGTGATTTTTATATAGCGAGAGTCGTAACGATACGGCAGGAGTTATTTCCCTTTAACTGTTATTTGAATTAGTTAAGACTTCAAGGAGAATATATATATATATTTTTTTATCTGGACTCACAGAAAAAGATTTTAGCTCATGAAATAATAGTAAGTTTCAATGGAAAGAATTTTCTTCGATAAGAAAGGGTTGTAGGCTGAAATACGGTGTACAGAGGAGTTCAAAGAATCTTGTTGAGTGAGAGAAAATTTTAGTCTTCACTTGCAATATCAAGAAGTCGTGTCGTGTACTAAAAATAAGATGTAATTTTTATTTTTATTTTTTTAAATTTTTGAATAAAATTTTATTAGAAATAAGTTGAAGTAACTTTTGCCGCTTAAGTTGTTCACCGAAGAGAGATGAATGTGTTTCTGTTGCTTGTTGTAGCTTAAGTAAAGAATGAGATGAGTTCAGAGATGTGCAATGTTCGTACGTACGTACGTACGTACGAGAATTTAATGTGTATGTATGTGTGTGTGTGTGTGTGTGTGTGTGTGTGTGTGTGTGTGTGTGTGATAGCATCTGCCGCAAAGTGATCATGACGAAATCTCTCTAATGTTACATCTGGTGTGTGTGAGAGAAGGCAAAAAAAAAAAAAAAAATTGCAATTCTTGATCACTCTTGAGAAATAAATGAAACAGTGACTAAGCTACATTGTATACGTTATAAATTCAAATTAACAAAAAGAAAAAACAATAATAATAATAAAATCAAAATTAAATTGTTAATTAACAGTGGCAAAAAAAGCTAAGCTAAAATTTTTTTGTTTCCTTTCATGACACACATAAAAGGCCTACAGGTGGCTAGGTGAACGAGCTGATCATTAATCTTAGCAAAATTACTCTCGTTAATAATATAATTAATATTCATTAAAAGTTTCGTGTTATTTATATTTTGTTAAAGTATGTAGAGGGTGTCTCAAAAATGTATACACTCTTTTACACTGGTAATGATAATATTAACCATCTTCCTACAAAGAAACATTCAGCATTCATTGAATGAGCAGCCAGTACAGCTTTCAGTTGAAATTTATAAAATCTTTCTCTTGAAACCTTTTTTTTATTTTATTTAGGAAAACAGGATTCTCAAGTCAAGTGGTTGTTATCGCTTTTTCTAGTATTGACTAGCAGTAGAGCTCGGCGTTGCCCGGGGATGTAACAGTAAGAGATAGATCAAGTATCGACCACCATAAAGACTGAAAAATAAAATTGACAAAGATTATTGTTTAAGGTTGACGGACACGCGTGTCTTAATTAGTTTTTTTTTTTTTTTTTTTTTTTTTTTACGTCAAACCCAAACTCAAACAAAAAACATTGTTTTCAATCATTATGAGCCTACCGATTGAATAGAATTTTATTATAAACAATTGTCTTGTAAATGGAATTTTTAAAAGCATTCTGAATGTAAAAATAAAAAAAAAAGTGTGCAACACAATAAAAACACTACCTGCCAAAAAAAAGTGATGTTTTGTTGAAATCGGTTGAAAAATGTAGGAAATCCGATCCCATATATAAAAACACACACACACACACACACACACACACACACACACACACACACACACACACAAAAACCTGGGTTTTATAATAAGTATAACTCGATATGAGTTGTCCCCCTTTCATTCTCGCAACAGCAATGCCTCTTAATCGTTTTTTTTTTTCAAATTGATTTCGTGCAAAAACAATTGTGTTTTTCCCATTTTTGGCACTGTCAGAACCACCGCAAGGTAATTTTACGTAGTCCTGTGAAGTTTTGTTGAAATCGGTTGAAAAATGTAGGAAATCCGATCCAATATATAAACGAACAGACACACACACACACACACACACACACACAACCTGGGTTTTATAATAAGTATGATGTAGGCTTCCTTCCTAACCTTCCATGTGAGGTAGTGAAGAATGCTAACATCTTCATTATGTCGTTATCTTCTCTTCTAGTTACATGCGCTATCCATTTTAGTTGGCGTTACTGTTGGTAATCCTGAATCCTGTTATTTGATTGTTATATACCGTGCCTATGAACACTAATGGGTATGTCCCAATCCTCATAAATACCTTAGACACTATTGTAAATGGGGGTAATATACTAAGTAGTGCACCACTAGCAGTGGTTTACCTATTTCGCAGCGCTGGCGAGTAATGTATTTTGTTGATGTTATAAAGATTACCATTTCATTTCCAACCTCCGTTTTGGTTATTCCTCATTCAGTAACCTTTTCTAGGTTACAACATTGGTACAAATCTTTGCGATTCGGTAGCACTAGTCCACAATGTTCAATGAAATATGATCTTTGCCAAGATCCTCAGGCTTTACTCGCCTATTTTCAACATTGATCTTAGGAAGCGATTGTATACAGCTGATAGTTTAGATATTCCTGAACGGCTTCGGTGCCAGGCATGACATCCATATGAAAGTGTTGTTTTGACAAGGCTATTTAAGAACATTTTGTGATGTCAGCGAACACTCATTACCCACTTTTGTAATCTCAACGAATACTCGCTGTCACTTTCGCAATGCTCGTTGTAGTAGAGACTTTGTAATCGCAGATAAAACTATAGTAATACCGTTGAACAATACTGGTGTCAGACGCCTTCGAATAACACTCACACTAATAGTACTTGCATGATAATACTCGCTTGAAAACTAATCACCGAATAGTGACCCGAATAGGAATCCGTATAGTGAGATATTCACCTACCGCCCCACGCGGTCGGATGCGGCACAAGCCCAAGTTTATTGTGGGGTATCCGAGCCCGTAGGCTCGGGCAAAAATTCCCTGTAGACCCCGTAAAAACGGAGTCGGGTAGCTGTCTACCACCCCAGACGAGACTCTGCCCTTCGGCATAGCCCAGTCTGAGTTCATCTCTGCCCGGAGGCAGAGGGTTCGACCAGCACACCTCCGAAGTAATTCGGAGAGTGATCACTTAGACGCCACGCTAATTGCCATATATACATTTCCTTTACTCTCCCGTGATCTACTTATTAAAAAAAGGGAACGCCTGTGTTTGATATCTGGTGATCTGGGTTCAAACTCCTGTGTCGGCAGCAACACTTTATTCTTATATAATAGAACATGACTTGAGTTTTCAGGTTGATGTTTTGGTCTTGTAGCAATGTGCGGTGTTGGGCGAAACTATTTCTGGCGCTATACATTCTATGTTCACTTTCATTTTCTCCCCAGCTAATTTGCTTTCTTTTCAGATTTCCGCGTTAGTATTACTAATGTAATCCAGGCTTAGCTTTGAACCAAAGAAAGTTCATCCTGAAATGCTACCGGAAGTACGGAAATGCAGTTGTATCGAAGAGCGTTTCATTCAGATTCACCGACGCGTCTTACAATCTCATGAATTAGAGATAATTTTTTAAGCTGATGGTACCGTACACAGTGCGCACAAAACCCTTTCTGTAAGACCACGTATATCAACAAGTTTACGGCCATATCACGTTGAAACACCTGTTCTCATACGATCACCGAAGTTAAGCAACGTCGAGCCTAGATCTAGATGGGTGACCGCTTGGGAATATCAAGTGCTGTAAGCTTGGATGTGCGGTTGGGATTGAAGGATAATGGCTCGCAATTGTTAATCGGTGAGCCGAGTTCCAATTCCAGTTGGGTTCATTATATTCTCTTACGCGCAAATAGCATTGGGAAAGGTATGAATCTAACTCTTTTCCCCCTAATACGGGTTAATTAGCAAGACTTGGGTTACTAAACCATTACTATTTTTTTTTAAATTTCTTAATATTAAGAGATTTAAATTTCTTAATATTAATTCTAAATATCTAAAAATATATTCTGGCTTTAAATAAACTGCAAAGGGTTGATAAGCTGTAGAAAACTAATCAATCAAAATGTGTGAATTTCTGCCCTGTCTCCAAACAGACGTAAAGGCTGACATTATCCTGGTGGAAGATGACAGTCTCCGATTAGCCAATTACGGATGGCTATAATCGATTGCTGTCTTTAAATGATCTAGTTGGAAACAGTCATGCGTATCTGATCTTGCGGAAGCTGCTAATAACATACAATGTCTATTCGGCCCTACCATATGCGCAGTATCACTTGCTTCGAATGCAGACCGGCTTTAGTGACGAAGTAAACACTGAATAGACCCTACGAGAGAGGGGTAGCACAATTTTAACACACTGTTATTTTTATTTATTTATTTTTTGGGGGCTCATTGCTTTTCGCCTGGGACCATTCTCATTCCACGTTGTTGTAAACAATCCATTATTCATCGGCTGTAAATTTTCTTTTTTTTTTTTTTTTTTTAAAAAGGGTCGTTTTGTTGCCTTTAAGCAGAGAATCGTAGATGGAAATGCAGTTCATTCAATTTTTTTTCTGCTAAATCGTGAAGCAGCCGAACGTTGTCGGGATTCGCGTATCCAAGTGTTGTCAAATGCCTTACAACGTTCAGATGAGATTATGTGATGCATTTATGGATTGTTTTTCATCAGCATTTCAATACGGTCATCATGAGTAGTCCTGCCGGAACGTACTCGCTATTCCAGATCCAGATTTCCACTTTTGAATTAACCGAGCTACCTACGAACGCTACTGACAGCTATGGCACCATCTTCATAAACGGCACTTATCTTTTTTGCCCTTGGCACCGCATTTTTCCTTTCCGGAAATATATATTTATTGTTTTAATTACAATAAGTGTGGCGCAAGGTCGAAGGGGGAATGGGGAAAGGCTGGTCGACACTTTCTATCCTAGCTAATCGGATTCACGACCCATTCCTTCATTACAATTTATTCATTCATCATTCGGTATTATATATACCACAATACCATAAATTCATCAGTCAGTCAGTTATGTGCCATGCATCTCTTAGGCGATCATGTATCTTTCGATACATGACTGACGAGGCAGATTTTTTTTTCCGTAGTAGTTTTTCATTTCTTTCCACGGTAGACCAGTTGTAATCCAAGGCTATAGAACCCCGTCCTGCTATTTACCCTTAGCTTGGGGTGGGGAGAGAAGAGGATTCATACCTTTTCCAAGGGTTAGGGAACCTAAAATAAACATGGCATAAATTCCCGAAATAAAAGAGCATCAAATGATGAAAATACATTTTCCACATTTTCCCCTATTTTTACTTTTAACGTAAAAACATCTACAATTCGCAATCCACACATGAATCGTATAGAAAGACATATCAAAACATGTCACAAATTTCAATCACGTGCGAATATGTCATAAATTTCAGTTACGCGTGAATGCATCATAATTTCAGATTCGTGTGAATATGTCATAAATTTGAGTTTTGTGTGAAAATGTCATAAATTTCAGTTACGTGTTAATATGTCATAAATTTCAGTTACGTGCTAATATATCATAAATTTCAGTCATGTGCTAATATGTCCTAGATTTCAGTCACGTGTGAATACGTCATAAATTTCAGTCACGTGTGAATGTGTCATAATTTCAGTTTCGTATCAATATGTCATAAATTTTAGTTTCGTGTTAATATGTCATAAATTTCAGCTACGTGTGAATATCATAAATTTCAATCACGTATCATACATTTCAGTCACGTGTGAATGTATGATAAATTTCAATCACATGTAAATGTGTCATAAATTTCAGTCATGTGTGAATATGTCATAAATTTCCGTGACGCTTGAATTGTCATAAAATTCCGTGACGTTTGAATATGTCATAAATTTCAGTTCTATGTGAATATGTCATAAACTGCAGTTAACTGTGAATGAATCATAAATTTCAGTTTCGTCTCAGTATGTCATAAATTTCAGTCACGTATAAATATGTCATAAATTTCAGTCACAAATGAATATATAAATTTCTGTCGCGTGTGAATATGTCATAAATTCTAGTCACGTGTGATACAATATCACGTGTTCAAAAACCACCGACGGAAAAACGCTACATACTAATTTATTCCAACCTAATAATTAAGTAAGATTAAAACTTTTTTTTAGTAAATACTAGCAGTAGAGCCCGGCGTTGCCCGGGGATGTAACAGTAAGAGATAGATCAAGTATCGACCATCATAAAGACTGAAAAATAAAATTGACAAAGATTATTATTTAAGGTTGACGGACACGCATGTCTTAATTAGTTTTTTTTTTTTTTTTTTTGAATTGGTCAAACCCAAATTCAAACAAAAACATTGTTTTCAATCGTTATGAGTCTACCGATTGAATAGAATTTTATTATAAACAATTGTCTTGTAAATGGAATTTTTAAAGCATTCTGAATGTAAAAATAAAGAAAAAAGTGTGCAACACAATAAGAAACACTACCTGCACAAAAAAAGTGAAGTTTTGTTGAAATTGGTTGAAAAATGTAGGAAATCCGATCCCATATATAAACGAACACACACACACACACACACACACACACACACACACACACACACACACACACACAAAAAAAAAAAACAAAGCAAAAAAACTGGGTTTTATAATAAGCATAACTCGATATGAGTTGTTCCCCTTTCATTAATGCCTGTTAATCGTGTTTTCAAATTGATTTCGTGCAAAAATAATTGTGTTTTTCCCATTTTTGGCGCTGTCAGAACCACCGCAAGGTAATTTTACGTAGTCCTGTGAAGTTTTGTTGAAATCGGTTGAAAAATGTAGGAAATCCGATCCAATATATAAACGAACAGACACACACACACACAACTTGGGTTTTTATAATAAGTATGATTACCTGAATGTTATTAACTGAATTTTATTTAAATAAACGTAGATGTCAGTTTCCGTATGAAAAAAAAAAAAAGAAAACAAACAAAAAAAAAAACAGTGTTTACAATTGTGCTACTCCTCTCTCGTAGGGCCAACTCAGTGTTTACCTTTCGTCACTGAAGAAGTGGTTGTGGCTGTGATTGTGATGTGTATTATTCTCTACCGTTGTCATTGACCGGTATTCGAGTCTTAAGTAGGATTTCGAATGGTCGTTTTCAAAAGCGTGTATATACCCTCCCCTTAAGAATCAGTGACGCAGTACAATATTCCTAGTTCTAGTTCTTCTCACATCACACACACACACACACACACACACACACACACACACACACACACACACACACTTGGCAAATAAAACCCACAGTCTAGATGTTAACTTACATACACACACACGAGCAGCAAATAACACACCTTATGTTCGGCCACTAAACAAAAGATAATTCGGAAAGGTAGATAAGTTGCTAAGCAACGGCCACTGAGAGGGTACAATGTTGCTACATTTTTTTTTAAAAGTCTAACGTCTGCCTTTGTTAAATAGTCACAAATTAAATCGATTCCATTCATTGATGCCGATCGATCTATATTCTATTCGATGAATATCGATCTTTGTGACCAATTTATTATGAGGTAAAAAAGAAAGAAAAGAAAGCAGAAGAAGACACATTCAAAAACGCAAAATGCACGTAGACAACTTGGCCGGTGGCGACTATCGCATTTCGGTTCGTAACTTCGAGATTTAAGATTTTCTTCCTCTCTGTTTTTAAAGTTTATCTAAAGAAATCGTATGAATTTTAGACTCTTTGAAAAAAAAATTTAAAAAAAATGAACGAAGGCAAACATTCTGCTTGTAATTGTGCATCTATAAGTTTGAAAAGAGTAATTTTATTCATTTTATCTTCCATTTCCACATTCCTGAGGAAAAACTTTTTAAACGGCATTCATTTTGCATGAAAGACAAAAAAGAAGGAAAATAATCAAAAGTAAGTACAATTTTCAATTCCTTGCGATGAAAAATATTCAAAATACGCAACATTATTATCATCATCATCATCATCATCATCATCATCATTATTATTATTATTATTATTATTATTATTATTATTATTATTATTATTTATTTATTTATTTTTATTTCCTTTGATTTCTGGCGTTTTACACATTTCTTTCCGAGTCCCGCCAGGGGCCTAAGGTTAGAAATGGCATCATGACACACACAAAAAAAAAAAAAAAAAAAATTAAATTCCATAGATAAAGCCCTTCGTAAAGTGTGGGCTGTACTTGTCAGAACAATTTTTTGTATCTCCTTGAGGCATGAACTTCCAGGAATCCCTTCAATTAGTCTACTGCAATCTTTTCCAACCAGTCCTAGGGCTTCAACTACAACAGGGATTGTTGATGTTCCCATATGCCACATTTTCAAGATTTCTATTTCAAGGTCTTTGTATTTTGACAACTTTTTGAATATCTTCAACGATACATTGCAGTCAGCAGAGACTGCCATGTCAATAAGGAGACACTTTATTATTATTATTATTATTATTATTATTATTATTATTTCTTTGCATTTTTCTGGTTTACGGCTATATCATATTGATACACCGGTACTGGTTATCGAAATTAAGCAATGTCGTGCCTGGTCGGCACCCGCTTGGGAATACCTGGCAGTGCTGTAAGCTTGGATGTGCGGGTGGTGTAATGGATAACGGCTCGGATTTGGAAATCGGAGAGTCGAGTTCCAATTCCAGTCGATTTCGTTATATACGCTTTACGCGCAAATTACTAGCACTTGATCATTATTATTATTATCTAAAAAAAAAAAA